CCTACGAAACACATTCGTAAACACAACATACAAAAACAATACTTAGATAAGTGGTTCCTCGATGGACTAGGTCTGAGTCCAACACTTAAACATCATTCGCCTTTGACAATATGATTTTTCTACATCCAGGGTCAAGTACCCCCTAGCCGCTATGACAACACATATATCATAAATATGTTCGACACTGGTACAAGATGTGGTTTTCACAAGGCACTTCCAAACAAATAAACAATATTTATTATTATTGATCGTTTGCTTACGGATGTTCCCGCATTCTGGGTCCCAGATACACTGACGGCTGACAACGACCAGTCCTTTCACAGCCAAGACATGGGAAGATATGTTACTCATACGACGTATGCAACTCCAACGCCCCACACCCTTACCTTATCACGAAACGCTAAAGTCGAGCGACCGCCCGACACCCTTAATGGTTTAATTCGTCTCTTACTTATTGACTCTGGCATGCCTCGTCCCGGACGGGAAGTTGCTTTACTGTGGGCGGGCGACGTTCGCAACCCGACTCTTGGCGAAAACGACAAGCTCCGCACCCCCGCCCAAACATTTCTTCAGGAGGCACACCCCCGAGATCCCAAAGCACGATTCGGATGTGATGTGATGTTCAAGCTCCGCGGCAAGACCGCAAAACTCACTCCAAAGCGTGATCCACAGGTGGGTTTCGGGGTATTGCTTGGCCGTAGCGCCAACTCTACCCCTTACTGCTATCGCGTACAAAATTTTGCGACACAGCGCCAAATCGATTCACAGGACATCCAATTTCTAACTGAAGAAAACGCACAATGGTCCCCCTGACGGACATACTGCCACTTGCTCTGCCACACCCACTTCCTACAACATACCCCCTGACTGGTTCCTCCCCAACAGTCCCCCGGATGTTGTTGTTCCCTATCAGGGCCACATCCCGCCGATTGGCCAGCTCATACCCGATGTCAACCAAGACGATCTCCCCCCTGAACCGCAAAACGCCTCTTGCTTCCAGCATTCACACCTATCGATCCTCCTCCAGCGACACATACTCCCACTCAACCACCCACTCCACCGTCGGCACAGCACCCACACCGTACACCTTTTCCCACTACCACTCCACAACCTTCGACCATCCCTTCTGCACCTACAACTCCTGACCCTCAGCCTCACACATCCTCCCAACCATCTCCCCCTGTGCCACCAACACCTCCCACACCACCATATACGGTTACCCCACATCACACTCCCCATATTCCTGACAGTCCTATGCCCCCTACCCCGGCCACACCCCCTGCTGTTTTCCTCACACCGCCCGCACCCCTTCCCCCAATCGTTTAACGTTCCCCATCCTCGACATCCTCTACCACCCATACCCCTCCCTAGGCTTCAGAACATCATTTACCAACCTCCTACCCCAACAACGCTCCTAGACTCTCTCCCTCTTACTCGAATGTCTCCTTTGACAACTACCTTCCGTGACCTTCAACTCTCTGTGGATTCTGCTGAGGCATCCGTCGCCTACCCAAGCCAACACCCAGACCTTGCTTCGTCCATCCGATCTATCGCCCCCACTGTTCGCACTAAAGTCACACTATTTGAAGCGGCATCTCTTCATGATCCTAACGTACCCAAATCCATCGCCGTCGCACGTAAATCGAAATCATAGCCGGCCTGGGCCGCAGCCATCGACACGGAGCGTGGCAACCACCTTCGCAACGATTTGGCAGATGTCATACCACTCGATCAAGTCCCTCCCCCACTCCACGATCATCCACAGTAAGTACGTTTTCGCCCTCAAGCACGATGAGCATGACAAGCTCACCCGCTATAAGGCCCGTATGGTGGCCCGTGGAGATGAGCAACAGCACGGCGACAGCTTCACCGACACATATGCTCCGGCAGCCCACTCTACTGCTCTCCGCCTCTTTTTGGCGAAATCCGCCTTCGACAGAAGGTTGTTCATCATTTTGATGATACTTCTGCTTACCTCTGTAGCAAGCTCGACTTTCCAGTTTATATGTTTCCCCCGAAGGGATCAGTGGAACTAGGCCAGTACCCAGCCAACCACGTACTCAAGCCTAAGCGGGGATTATACGGTTTTAAGCAGTCTGGCCGCCTATGGAACTTCGACATAGGCGACAAATTGCGCGCATCTGATTTCATACAATCCGATGCTGACAAAACCATATGGGTCCACCGCACAGGGGACCTAGTCGTCGTAATTTACGTGAACGTAATCCTTCCAGCTGTCGACCCGTCTACCAAGGACGACCAGTGGCTATACACTTGTCTCTTTGCTCACTATCACATGACGAACCTCGGCATTGCCCGACATGTCCGTGGGCTTCCGCATAATTCAAGACGGCTCTGGCACTAGAACCTTACGCCAAGACGCATATATACAGCACATGCTTGATACTTTCCACATGCACGACACTCCCACTAAGCCGACTCCGGGTACCAGTACTCACCCTGGCGCCCTCACTGGCGCAGTCTTTACCGGCAAATTTCGTAGCCTCCTCGGCGCCCTTGATTTGTCGCTAATATGGCACGTGTTGACATTGCGTGCACACTCAATCAGCTTGCTGCATTTTCGACTGCCCCACTACTCTCTCACTACGAAGCGCTGGTCCGTATCCTCCTCTACCTCTCTGGAACCATCCACTTTGCGCTCACATACCGCCCACGCACATCAGATCAAACACTAGACACTGCACTGCTCTCATACAATGACTCGGACTGGGCCTCCTGCCCTCTCACCCGCAGGTCTCAAACAGGTACCCTCATTTGCTTCAACTCGACCCCTATCTATTGGAGGTCTCAGAAGCAGAAAACTGTTTCCATCAGTTCGGGAGAAGCTGAATATATCGCCGGCTCGAAGACTACCCGTTCGCATGGATTCGCAATCTAATGCACGCGTTAGGCTACAAACTAACACTCCCCACCCGTCTCCATATCGACAACCAAAGCGCTATCAAAATCGCGCTGGGGACGGGTACCCCTAAAGGTCTCAAACATATAGACATACGACATCAATATATTAGAAATTGTATCTGACAGGGCATGATCGAGCTGGATTATATCTCCACGCGCGATAACCCTGCTGACCTCCTTACAAAGAGCCTTGCTCGTACCAAACATATCATTTTCTGTGATATGTTAATGTCCAATCAAACACAACAAATTCCATCTTCGGTTTCCGGGGGAGTTTCAGGACAAACCTAGTTTATCCTGCCAGGTCCTGAACCTCAACCGGGGTTTTCTCATAACTGCTAAGCGGGCCCCAAAGAGGCCCATGTGCAGTACAACATTTGGTTCATTATAAATAGGTTTTTCACTTTATAATAAACAACTAGTTAGTAAGAAACATCTGAAGGATAGGTCTCTATAAGGTGTCTTAACGGGATCAGAAATTTCTGAACAGAATCAGAATAAAAAAGGACAGAAAGTACAATTATGGTGCATGATGACTCGAAATGTGTACTTTTTGAAAATTTGGGCCTGCCGGCAATTTTAGGTACAATCTGTTCCCATACATTTCCATTTTTTGATTATGTCGGGAGCGAGCGCTACTAGCAAGCTATTTTGATTAATTCGAAAGAGGCAAAGGGAAGAAAAAGAGGGCCTTTTACATGTAATTGTTGAGTTTTGGAAAGAACTTGCACGATGTGCCGATCACATTTTTAAAAGAATGGTGATTATAGAGACTGACGCGTAGCGGTTCATTCACTATGAGATTATGACGGACCTAACGAGCTCAAGTACAACTCTTTAACTCAACAGCGAAAATAATGGCATCAACCGCGCATCAATACTCTGCCTTCGCCAACACAGCACACACAAAATGTTCACTAAATGATAGCACGTCGAGTAAAAAAAAATTCAGTTGCAACAGTATTTATATTGCATGAACAAATATACACACATAGACACACACACACACACACACACACGCAGACACAGACACAGACACAGACAGACACACAGACACAGACACAGACACAGACACAGACACAGACACAGACACAGACACAGACACAGACACAGACACAGACACAGACACAGACACAGACACAGACACAGACACATATATATAGAGATAT